CAGTTTGTTTACAAGAGGCTAAAAGAGAAGGGGAAGTGAGTAGATGCTTGGGTGTCACGAGTTGGAATAAAACATCTCGAGACTGCTGCCTGAGCAATCTGAAGTGCAGACCAGGCCTGCGCAACAGTTCCAGCAGAGATGTATTTATGTACTGTGCAAGAGAAAGCAGGGATTACAGCTGCAAGACACCTGGCAATAAGATGAGAGACCTGTGGAGTTGACTCACCAGGAAGCGAAGCTGCATCAGGCTGAACCCCGGGGTCTGGCTAATGTGATCTGTGAGCCGCCCTGGTGTAGCCACAATAATATCAGCCAGGCTGCAGTAGCCTGTCACTCTGAAAGAACAAGCAACTCATCAGTACTTTTCACCCTACATCATAAAGCATGTAACAGAGATCCCTGGTCAGCAGAGTTTTCTACTATTCACTTAACTGAGAAATAGTAAAGTTCAAACACACTTTACTTTGAAAAGCATGCAAAGGCAGTGCTTGAACACTAAACTATTTTAAATAAAAAATTACATTCTTCACTGCTCTTAAAAAAGCTTAAGTTGCAGCAAAATCCCGTAACAATCATTTGTACCTGTGGGTATAAGGTAAATGTTTGCATTCTACTCAGCTGCTGAAGAACCCCCAAAATCTAGAAGAATATAACAATCATAAAAGAGATGACAGCAGGCACTTTGACAAAAAACAGGGTCTAGCATATAAACCCACAATGCAAAATCATTATTGCACGATGGTGACAATAGCCTATATTTTGACTTCTGCTTACTAAGATTAAATAGCTTACAATCTCTATAAACCTTATCAAAAGACATTTTAACCTACTTTTTCTGGACAAGCATCTCCTGCTCCTTTGCAAAAGATTTCTGGCCAGTAATCAAAACGACCTTCAGACCTGTCCCATCAGTGTAAATGTTGAACACTTTACTCACCTATAAAAAGATGGGCTTTGTTAGCCACAACAAAATCAGTTAAAGTAATACTTCCCATTACGGTAACAACATCAAACCCACTGACAGGTCTTCAACCTCTTCACAGAAGAGCCAAAGTACCGGCTGCACCAGCCTTTCCCTCAGCCTGGCTCTGCTTGGAGTCACATACCTGCTGTGCCAGTTCTTTGGTGGGCAGAACAACCAGAGCTCGTACTTGGCAAACTACTCGGTTTAGCAGAACCTGCCAAAAGAAAAGGCTAAATGAGTCCCTGAAAGGAGCGGGGAAAGAAGGGGTTTCTTGTATCTAATCTAGTGAGAAGAGATGGGCTTGACACATCCTTATGGACTTTGGGGTTTGCACTTTACTCCCCTCCACCCTCCCAAGTCCTCATGCTATGGCTGTTGTCTGAAAAAAGGAGCGGGATGCTGAGATGAAGGGGACTCGTATCCACAAATTCCTTGGCTTTCTGACCTACTTTTGCTTGAACAAAAGCAACCCCAGCATTTTCCCTACAGATATTTCACTGGGGGTAAACTCACCTGTACTATGGGTATGACAAATGACAGGGTTTTACCACTGCCAGTAGGTGCAGAGACACAGATGTCCCTGGGGCGGTATCCTCCCCGCCCCATCAAATACCCATTGGATGCACTCTGTAGAATAGCAGGAATCACCTCTGCCTGAACTGAACAAAAACGGAAACAAATATTAACTACAGTGTTAACTGGACTAAAACCAGTGTATCCAGAAGAGCAGTTAAATACAATGAAACTGTTCCCACACCTGTGCTGTTGTTGCTATAGATGTAAGAGAGGAAGAAATCTAAACCAGTTGTTAATCGAGATGCTATCTGGTTTTACCTGGCTCTTGTTCACTCACAAGAGCTTAGCACTGAACACAGATTTCCCTCTCCAAGAGTTAAGCTATTTCTAGTGCTCAGCTAAGATGTTACTGTCTTAAATATGGTTTTTAACTCACATCTGTCTTCTTGTTCGCACGTTAGGATGGCACTGGGCAGATTTAAAATCTATGAATATTTGTCTGTAAGCATTTTTTCTTTGAAGACACAGAATATGCAACACGGCAATGCAGCCTTACCTGCCAAGGAGCAAAATCATCCTGTAGCTTTGGAGTCATTCAAGTTTGCTGCAGGACTGTACAGCAGGCCTGAAACAAACAGTCCTGTACAGACAGCAGCTCTGGCTGTCATCCATGAACTGTCTCCTCTCTCTGCCCCTTGACGAGCCCTGACAAACTGGCCAACTTTGGTTTATATATGAGGTTTAGCAGCCAGGGGTTCTACCTTCGTGACAAGACCATGGTCAGTGATGCATATGATGTCTGATTTTTGGTGGAAACCATCTCGAGCATGACACTGCTTGATTCAACTACTACCAAGCCATAAGCTAGACTTATGAGAAAACACAAGTTGCTATCAGCAACCTGTTATGATCTCCCAGGACAAAATGAGCAACAGTATTTACATTATGATGTAATGTCACCACACACTTAAAAAGAGAGGACACATGTTGGCTTTCCAGTGTAACCTTGATGAGCCTCCAGGCTCAGCTGGACCAACTAACTGACTGAAGGTCAGAGATCCCACCTTCTTCCCTCTTCTTCCATTGCCTCCTCTCCTTATCCCTGCTACCAGCTGCACTTTCTATTTATAGGAGCTGGCACTTATTGTACTTGTTTGCAAAACTGATAAAATAATGGAAAACCAACGGCTTTTTTTTTGCTTGGATGGCTTTCTGCTGCTTTAATGAGCTTGAACAGGTTCCCAGAGAGGTCTGATTAGCATCCGAGATGGAAGGTAAGGAACTAAAGCACAAGCCTGGCATAAGGGGGGAAAACAGCAGGACACAAGACCTCCGTCTTTTGCCAGCTGTGAGCTATTACTTCAAGCCATCACATTTTGTGGCATTTATGACAAGATAACACACTTCAACTACTCAGTCTAGGTAAAGCTTTAGATATGAAGGGTCAAAACTAGTACAATCACTTTGATGCATTAAACTTGGTTTTGTTCTATGTTTTACTTCACCAATTCTATAAAATATACAGCAATAGACTGCAGGAACTACATGAGCCACTTTAGAAAGAAAGAAAAGCACTACCAAGGTACCTGGAAAAAAGGACTCTATCCCATTCATTTGCAGTTTTTTCAGCAGCCAGGGATGAATTCCTGGGACATCTCCAATGGGAATTAGATTATCTTTGATACGTTTTTGTACTAACTTGGGTTGAGCAAGCCATTGCGGTAAGAAAGGCTGAACCTGAGGTGGGGGAAAGGAGAATAACAAAGTGTTTCTGACATTAAACAGACAACACCATACATAAATAAGCAGACGCATGTTCCTTCCTGACCATCATGAAAATTCAGTCAAGATAGCTACCTTCTGCACTGGCTTTCTGTCGTAGTCTCCAAGAACCACCAAACTGGAGGCTGGAGGATTTGCCTTTTCCTCCGAGGCTGCTAAGGACAGCTCCTCCTTTGTGCTTTGATCTTCTTCAGCTCCTTCACTGTTCTCTTTCTTCCTTTTTTCGGATCCCTCTGTTTCCTCATCTCCTTTCTTCCTTTTAGAAGACTTACTTTTAAGGTTGCTTCTGTTTTCCTGTTGTTTGATGCCTTCTTCAGAATCTGGAATTTGGGTAAAAGGAATACAAAGCTACAGGTCAGAACGTGCTACAGAAAAAGGGATATAGAGAACATTTTACAATGACAGACTTAACCAACAACTTGCAAGCTTCTCTTTTTTCCTAGATCCAAGTGAAAAAGCCAAACATTTCTTTGTTGGTACAGAGGCAACTGAAGACTGAGGTAACACACACCTCTTCTTCCTTTACACTAAACTTATCATCAAAGTTTGCAATACAGAGCTTTCCCCTAACAAAGGGATTACTTCGGGAATGTATTAAGCAGATGAAAACAAAATTTACTATCAGGTAACTTGTGCCTACTTCTCTGTTGAGAACTGTCAATCATAGTGAAATTAAATCCTACAGCCTCAGTTTGTTGTTACCTCTTTCAGTCTTCTCTTGCAGCACTTTCGATTTCCTTCTATTTTCTTTCTTCTTCTTCGATGGAGTGCTGCCATCTGCTGCCTCCTCTGTATCCGCCCTTTCTTCAGAAGAGCTGCGAGGCTGTTGTTTCCTCTTTAGCTTCTTCTGTCCTTGTGCACAAGACTGCTTTTCACTCTCCCTCTGCCTCCTTCTTTTTTCTTCACCGCCGGGGCTCAGCCCCGCAGCCTCTGGGCCAGCTCCTCCGGACTGCTCACCTTTCCCTCCCTCGGGCTGCGCTGACGTCATCTCCGTGCGCCCGCGCGGCGCGGCCATGGCGCTCTTCTGCATCCAGAGGTACCCGCGGCCCCGGGCTCTGCCTCGCCCCGGCAGCTGCGCCCCGGCGTCCCCCC